CGTACAGGGTCAGCAACAGTGTTTCGGCTCAGACTCACATTTAAAAATGCTTGCCTTTTTTCTGGGCACACAGTGTCACAAACTTTTATCATACAGTTTTTGATAAATTCTCCCTCGGTAAAGGGCCGCGCTGACTTTGCAACTTCTGCTGCCACAATAAAACTAGCCTTAACAGCAGCCTCGCTTTGTGATTTGGCTTTTGTAAACATAGCTTGCTGTGACACCAGACTTCTTTTTAACTCGTTTGCCTTTTGGAGCCTTTGTGTCATGTCCAGATGCTTATATTTGTCGTGGTGCCTCGTTTCATAGTGTCTTCTTACGTTGAATTCTTTCATTACGGCCACACTGTCTCCGCACAAAAGACACACAGCTTTGCCTTTTACATCCGCGAACATATACTCTGCCTCCCACCTGTCTTGGAAACCTCTGTTTTCAAAATCCACCTTTCGTTTAGCCATTTTTTCGGAGAGAGTGGTGTTCGGGTCCAGCTCAAGTCACTGAAGAGGCGCGGACTCACTCCCGTTCGCGGGCAGTGATTGACGTGCGGACGCATCTGCAGTGCATTATGGGATTTGTAGTTTTAAGGTAGTCCGTGCAACACACTGGCGGGCCGGTTTAAATAATAATTAAATATTATCCTGCGTGCCAAAAATAATCAATTCACGGGCCGGATGTGGCCCGCGGGCCTTGAAATTGACACATGTGCTCTAGGGGTTTACACACTGCATGGCACAGCTTCTAACCCAGGTTCATCTTTTTGCATTTGCTTTTTAGGGCCGATCAGCCCGGCCCGATTGGAACCTCGCATGTACTGCTGATCATTTTTATTGGTTTGTTTGCAGACGAGTCTGGCAAGTCATTAAAAATCATATAGATCTACTAGATAGTAACTATTTTCTTTACCAGGTCATGTGTCACAAGCTAGTAATGCTAGCTAATAGCTTACCAGTCGATGTCATCTCGCTCTGGTCGCTTGTTGTTGCTGTATGGCCAGGTACAGCCTTCGTTACCTCTCCRCTCTATTTCACATCTCCATTCATCGTCTAACTCTACGTTTACGTATCCATTCTTGCACTGCAATCTGTAATTTAACTACTTGCATGAACAACATCAAAACAATCAGGAGCTCAGTGGCGGCGTCCGTTGGTGAGTCGCAAACAACCAAATGATGTCACTATCCAAATTTGCGCTTTTCYGGTAAGAAGTTCACACCCACTTCGAGGCGGCTCTCCGCACAGTGCGAAACAAGCAGGGCCAGGCTGGTCTTGGACCAGGACCATCTTGGCGGGCCGTGCAGTGCGTAAACCTCTTCTGTGGACTAAATCCTTTTGGTTCTCTAAGTCTGGTTCTTTCATGTTTTTGCACAATGTTATGTATTTAAGAGGGAGGAACTTTAATCTAGTCAGACTTTAGTTAAGGATTATTAGTATCAAAATTGTCTGGTTAAAACACTTCAGGAAAAACAACTGAAACAATGTTACTGTGTATTAAATTTAATTACATGAATGATCCTATTTGGCAAGAAAATTGCACAAAGTTGCATTTGTTTCTTGGTGCCTTTTTATGGTAYTGAACACAACCTTTGGGTTTCTTTTGTAACAAGCTGCTAGATGGAAACACATATCGGTCAGTTAATTGTTTGGTTCTGTTTRTCTGAGATTTCATCGTTGTTGTTAATTTGGCAAGAATGTAACCATGTCAATATTGTTTAATTAGGTTATACCTAATCCTTTTTATAGTCCATTTTTTCCCCTAATGTTTACTAAGGGAGTGATGAGAGTGTACATCCAGGAAAGGTCATATTTAAATTTAACAAAAGAAGTCAGGCATGTTTGCAGACATTATTGTGATCATTCTGTAGTGAGAGTAGGGAGCAGCTGGAAGAGAGCCTGGAGAGAAGAGGAATGAAAAGGAGGTACTGCAGTGTCACTTTGAGCCTGTAAATGTAAAGCTGCTGAAGGTGGACGAGTACCCGGGGTCGACCATCCAAAGCAATGAGACCAAGAAGAGAGTGCAGGCAGGTGGATGGAGACGAGCGTGAAATGAAACCTGCTGTGACGTAATGTTTAGAGATTGTGGCAAAAAGAAAAAACAGAAGGCAGAGCTGGAAGTGGCAAATAGAAAGATGATGAGATGTTGGGAGCAGCAAAAAGGACAGGATTGAAAACGAGTTCATCAGAGGGACAACTAGGGGTGAGTAGTTTGGAGACAGATTTGAGTGGCGTGGTTGAGATGGTCTTGGACACATCAGAAAAAGGACAAGGGATKTTGTTCAGTGTACAGTGTTCACAAGAACTGATATGAAAGGGAAACGACTCAGATAAATTAGAGTTGGTGCTTTTGTTTCTCAAAAAAATTTGTTCAAATATAAGAATTTTAAGTGTGTGTGTGTGTGTGTGTGTGTGCGTCAGGAGGAGAGTCGTTGGGATCTTGTGTCCTGTGGGCACAGTGACCCCAAACTCACCCCATCAAGGCTTGAACCCTGCTTTCTCAGAGGAATGTGACCTCAGTGGAGGTTGTCTTGTGTTTGGAAGATTTTTTTTTTCTGTTATATCAAATGGTCTGAGCCGCTCTTTTCTTGTTTCCTAACTAAAACTGACAGCAGTTTGAGTAGTTGAATTGTTATTTTTTTCTCTCTCAGGTCAGCATCAGTGATAAAAGCGCAACCATGTGATCAAAGGAATGACTAGTCGTATGAAACGTTATATATTTTATTCCAATGTTATTTAATAAAAATAAGTAGAACCTGTGTTTTTGCATTAAACTTTTCAGCTCATTTTTTAAAACTTAAACTTGTAAAGCTTGTTTAAGACCCAAACAAGGACCCTAAACATCTTTAATTCAAAATGCATGAAGATTTCATCTAATCTGTCTCAAGTTGTCAATTATAAAAAATGAATAATATAAATTCTAGCCTGAACCCTTGTATTCTACAGGTTCCTGAGAATTTTGGTTTTACTGAGAACAACCTGAAAGGGCACAAGAGGGGCGAAACAATCCAAACCTGTGACTTGTATATGTTTTTTTTAATTAAGATTCATCTCAACTGTTGAGTCCCTCTCAATACTTTTTTAAAGTTAAGTTTTCCTGTAGTAGCCTGCTCTCTAACAGTATGATGTAATATAAAGAAATGACAGAAGTCAGGATCGTGCTGCTCCTTTAATGTTCATAGTCCCTGCTTTGCTCTTTGATTTCCACAGAACTGTACATTTGAAGGAATTTAAAAGTTTTAATGACATAACTTAAAACTTTTCTGTGTTGCTTGTATCAATTTGTAGCAAGTAGATTTTTTTCCCCCGCTAACACAGATGACAGCTTCTCATTGTTTAAAAGGAAAATACAGCAGAACTCGCRTTGTTATATTTCCAGTAATCGTCCTCATTTTGTGTTTTCACGGAACAACTCAGACTAAAGTGGCGTCGGCAGCTCAGTGACTATTCTACTGTCAAATCTGCAAATAATAACCGACTCTTTGCCTCTGACAGGTATCTGCATCAAGTGTGGGAAGGGCGTATACGGGGCGAGCCAAGCCTGCCAGGCCATGGGGAACCTCTATCACACGAACTGTTTCACCTGCTGCTCATGTGGTGAGTCAAACTGCCCGTTTAACGACGGCACAGCCGGAGGCTTCTGCTCTGCAAAACATAGACAGCACATCCGACCTGAATTCGTGCACGCCGAGCGTTTTTGTTACAAGCTTTGTTACATCCTTCACAAGCTCGCGTTTCAGGTTGCAGATCAGAGGTGTCACCGGGATGACAGGAAGTCTGTGTTTTCAGGATTACTCCGCATGCTTTCTGAAAATTGAGACTAGGTTTTATGCAGAGATGCATGATGTTAGAAGAACATGCAAATGTGACGGTATCGGGTGCTGTAAATCCACATTTTGTTGACAGCAATAGCTTTTGGATAAGTTGGCACAAAGAAGAAAAACAGCTGTAGAAGTAGGTTAAAGCAAGAAAATAACATTGGATCAAGTCAAACAGAATACTGAAAGGACAAACCCTGCAACCTGTGAGTGTTTTTGTGGATCACACGGTCTTTACAATACATCCAGTCAGCTCTACTCCTGCCCGATGCAATTCATGAGTCCTGCCAGTAAAGACACTTTTGAGTCATTTAATCAGGCTATAACATGAGCAGGTTACACATGGAGCAGGTCAGTGTCTCTGTATTAAACAGGAGGCRTCGCTGCAGAGACGATCCAAGGTTCATCATGACTAGCAGCAGAAGAGATTATGAGGAGTACATACTTTATACGCAAAACTGACAAAAGTTACAATTTATTCATGCGTGCCTGGGAAGAAACCAGCCTGTCAGGTTCTGTGGTGTGGGTTTGACTTGTCTGTATCTTACCTGCAGAAGACAGCGGTCAAGGCGATCTTGGTTTGGAGACTCGCGGAGAAATTCTCTTGAAAAAAATCTGTTAGCTGAGTCAGAGCAGGACCCATGTAAGACCCAGTGTTTGTCTCGCACTTTACACAAACTGTATACTCTGTGTTTTCATATTTTGACACTTTTTGACGAAGGCAGTAGTTTTACGTTGTCGTTACTTGCTGCATGTAGCTGTGTGCACTCAGGCTGCTGCTCCTCCAAAACATAAAAATAAAAATACAAGACAATAAAAATTTGTGATTCTAAAAAAAAAACGCAATGTGTTTTTTTTTTTTTTTTTTTTTTGGGAGATGAGAGGATATCTGTAAAAGTAGGATTAAACGGAGGACAAACTTGTTTGTCTCAGACACAGACATTTATGAAAGTCTTTCCTAAATAATAAGTAAGTAAGGGTTAGGTTATTAAAATAGGAGGTGCTGTTCAAATGCTCGGAAAGTTTGAGCTGTTTTACGTAAAGAAAAGTCTGTTAGCTGTCTGAAAATTTCTGTCTCTCCAAAGAAACATCACTGAATGGTGTTCGCTGCAGGTGAGATACTGACTATTTAAATGCTGTTTCTAACTGCCCCGGTTCAAACATCTGAAATAACTATATTTGGACAAAATGACAGAGCTACTGTATGAGCTCTAATAAAAGTAGATTCTGATGTAAACAAAGATTCAGAAGGAGTGAAAGTCGTTAATAACCTGTAAGAAAATAAACTAATTCTGCTTAATAATTAACAACAAAATCATGCGGCCTGGCTGCAGTCAAAACTGGTCGCTGGTTAATCAAAACTGGTTAGAGTTAAACATTCACACTTTTTCTATGTTTCGACATTTTAGAAAATATTTAGTAAATGAAAGATTTTCCACATTTTACCTCCAGAAGCTGTGTGTCATATTGGCTTCTGTGTTTATCTGTGAAATGTACTTATACTTACTTAGCTGCATCTGTCAGTCTAATTTCTCTGTGTGTGTTTACTTCATGTACGTCACACTCAGATGAAGCGTTTTGCAAAGAGGGCAACACACAGGGCCTATTGTAGCTCTTCACACATCCATGAACGCACTTACAAAGAAGGAAAGTGAGAGTTTGTTGTGTGTTGTGCCAGAAAACTCATCGTATTGACAACAGGTGAAGTGTAACGATTGAGTTAATTCCGGTGCATTTATGTTGCTGTTTAATGCAGTGATGTTGATTAATGTGCACTCTCCCCATAAATACATACATGAAATAAATGTTTGGACAGTATCTGTATTTTACATCTTAACACCTTAGCTACTTCTCTCTTTAAGAGCATCCCTCTGTAGAAACAGTGAGCTCATAAAGCCTCAAAGAGACAAGAATGCTGACACGTTTTGATCTACAAGACTGTAATTAAATCTGCTCCTAAGCATAAAGTACAGTGCAGACTGTGTGTGTGTTTGGATGCCCCCGTCATCCGACTCCAGACCACCTCTCCTTTTTCCTGGGGAAACAACAGGAAGATGTCTGGATGGAGCCTTTCAGCCAGGTTCCATTCATACAAGTAGTCTGTACGTACACCGATCCTCCACCTCCACCCCTCAGGCTCTGGAAGAGCCGCCTATAATTTACATGTAACCAAAGCCACATACTTTCCGATTTATCGTGTGTTAGACGAAAGAGAGGCCAGATGCTGAGTGCCTTGTTGTTGAGGTTGCTGGGATATTTTTTTTTTTTTTGTAGAAAAACAGCCTCCAGCCTGGTTAAAAGTCTTTATGAAACTTTTAGGGTTTGTTTAGAGGTTTGCTTTCATCGGCCTTTGCGTTCAGTTCATCAAACAGACTTTCAACCAGATTATTTCCACTGACGGTTAAAAACACCCGGTGAGAAAGTGCGGATGAGGTAGCTGTGTTGGAATTAACTGCTGCTTTAGTCAGAAAACAGACCAYTACTGAGAGAAATACGATTGGGTTTATCAGAGAAATCCTGTCCACCATTTGTCAACAAGTCGTTTTCTGGGCTGCGGACAAGTTAGTGTTGATACGTTCACAGACCGGCCCACCTCTCAGGATAGTTTATAGGCAATGTAAACTACATAATCTATTGTTTGACCTCTTGTAAATGGGAATGTTTTAAAGGCCTCGGTGAAGTTTAGTTTCAAAGTGTTTGCACTTGTCATAACACAATTCAGTGATTTATAAAGAGCTGTGTTCTTGTGTCTTCTGTTTGTTTTTGATGTTTTTCTTTTTTTCCCCCTTATTTTTTGTCCGTCCTGTTGTATTGAGTCTGGAGTTCCACAGTGAGGCCGACTTTACTGAGACATTGCTCGCTGGTAGCCCTGGGCTTTGTTTAACCATGCATAATTGAGCCCTCCTCTTGGCTTACTCCCATGGTTGCACCCTTTTTTCAGGGGATGGCCAAGAATGCAGCCCTCCCCACCACCACTTCAGCGAGCCTTCCCTGGAGGACCTCAATCACACAGTCACAAAGTATGCTAGACCTGCTTATCAGAGGGGGCAGGCTTGCTATGGACTCACTTTAAACAGCAGACGCACGCCAAAAGGATTGTGTACTTGTGCTGCCACACGTACTGAAAGTGACTTGTTTTAGGGTCTGTTTGGTGCATATTTTGTCTTAAAAGAATTGTGATAAATACCTTGCTTAAGAGAGGTCATGTTTGCAAAGGTTGACTGTTTTCAGTCTTAATTAAAGTTATAAAGAATATTGTATTTTTAAAAAGAGCATAGCTTTGTTATTTGCCAGTCTTGCAGTTCACATTAGCTTGGAGTTTTCTGTGAAAGAATGCAACAAAAGGTGGAGGAAGATTTAAACATGGTGATCTGGCACGACCAACATGTCGAAACCCCAGTTTGATTCCAGCCAGCCACTGAAGGATGCTGAAAAGTTGAGGCTAAAAGCTCCAAACCTGCTTTGTCCACTTGAACTGCCCCATGCATGCTCACTTTGTTGATGGAAAACTAACTGACCAAAACACTTTCCCTGAGAAGTTTCTGTGCAGGGATCTGCAGAGGAGATCAGTCAAGTCTAGTTTCTGACTATAAAACCATCTGATCACTGTCAGAAAGCCGTAATTGATCAGTGAACAAAGTTTTCACATTTAGATCCAACTCTCTGCCATGTTTTTCATTACTGAGCTTTAGTGTCTCGGACTCGAAGAAACCAAAAGTTAAAAAAATAAATACATCCTCAGATTATCACCACCCATTTTTGCTTTAATCCTCCCAATAACCGATCGATGTAGTGCATTAAAACAAGTGTAACTTCCAAACCTTCCCCAAATTTATTTCGTTTTTCTTCACCATTTTTGTAAGTTTGTATAGCGTTCCATTGCATGTCTGGTTTACTTGGAAACCAAAAGTTGGGCAAAGCAGCACAAGCTGGTTTCATTCTGTTTGACAGAAACAGGTTGAACTTTCAAATAAACAAGCTTCCCTTTAATTAATTGATAAAAAAAAATTTAAAATAAAATTTTTTTGGCTTGGATGAGTAGACATCTGTCAAACTGTTAAATCATTTCGTATTCAGTTCGATTTGATTATGTATATTTATTTAGCAAAAAGTCACAACTTATGTCGTCTCAGAGCACTGTACACAAAACAGTCAATGTAAGGAAGCCAGCAGATCACATTGAATCATTTTGTTGCAGTGTCCCACCCTGAGCAGCACATTGGCAACCGTGAAAAGGAAAAACTCCCATTTAACAGGAAGACCTCCAGCACAACCAGAACCAGCTATCTGCCTCGACCAGCTAGATCCGGAGGTTCGGTTACACCAGTATCCAGTTGCATGCCTAATGGGCCCCTTAGCAAAACACTGAACCCCCTCATTGCCTCCAATGGGCCCCATTGGTGTATGAAGGTGATCTAAAACACTGATTAGTCTCTATTAAACGCTTTATTCAGATTAGCTTTAGAGATACAGCGTGTAAAATAAGTTTTGAACACGTCACCATTTTTCTCAGTAAATATA